CTCAGGTTTGGTAATGTAATTGTCATTGATTTGGGCTTCAGGTTTCCAAAATACCAGGGAGAAATAAGGAAGTCATAAAAACCCCTTTTTCCTTTGTCATCTCTGTGCATCCTTCCCTCAGTGTACTCCTTATAGAAATTCTTCTTGAGAAATTTGCAAATAGAAGCTAAATATCAGAAATCTCGCTCGCACATACTTCTGGGTGCCCAGCTGAATTGTCTCAAAATACGGCAAGAGCTTTTTCACCATCCTGCTTTCTTGAAACAAATACTAGGATTCAGCCCAGAACCCTGATATCCCTGTTTTGAAATGCTAGACTAGCAACAGTATTTCATATAAGCCCTCAGTCAGATTGCAGTCACCATCTTTGTTAACAAAACTGGTTTCTGTCTGCAGAAGGCGTATACAAGTCAGCAGTGCAAAAGTAGCAGGAGATACCTGAAACTTGAAAGATGCTTTCTATAGCAGGTGAAATCTATTTGTAATAACTAAGCTTATTACTATGGGTCATAAAAGTCATGTAGGAATGAATATCTAGGATGAACAGAACAGCTGAATTTGTAGTCTTTGTCTGATTGTAAGTGATTTACATTAGCATTACAACTTTCAATCAAACAGAAGACGTTATAAACCTTCCCTACCTGATTGCACAACTAGCAGAAAATTGCTTCATTTATCATGCAAGAGTAGCTGTAAAAACTATGAAGGGTGGTGGTATATGATACTTTAGGACAGCAAGTGAAGAACACTGATTACAGCTGAAACTGCAGGGGGAATGCTGGGATGCAGAACTAAATTAACCTAGTTGAAGTTTGGCCAGGACATTGGGATACATACTTTAGACTCTGTGTGGGACTCTAATTATTACAAGTGGTCTGAAAAATTTTCTCATCCAAGAAATAGAATGTGCAGAAGTTCCATTCCCTTCCTTCATCCTACAGCCAGGGAGGTTGGCTCTCTGGCCAAGGGAAAGTAAGTGTATCCCCGTAGTTACAATAGCTCCTGAGGTATCACTTAAGAACAAAAACTGTGCTCCACCAGTGCTAATCTGTGCCACTCAGGACAGAGGTTAAAAATCAGGATCATTAAGGTTTTAGCCTCTATTTCACTGCCGCATCAGTTTCGATCTCTGGCAGCATATTTTGTCTGCCATATGGAAGCTTCAGCAGTCACTGCTACTCAGTAACAGAGAATAGGCCTTCCCACATCATTTCCTCGGAAACAGGTTCAAGATCGAGTCAACCTATGAGGAATATAGGGTGGTAAGTGGAACCATAGAGCGGTAATGCCAACATTCAGGCTGCTAAGCACACTCTGTCTTTGCCCCTTTTTTCTATTGCTTATGAGTCACTAAAGTTTGCCAGCTGAAGATGGAATTCCTGAGGTTTGATCTCTTGCCCAAAGGTGAAGTAGGTTTGTCTTTCATTTTTGGAGATTTCTTTTTTCCTACTATGTAGAAGTGGTTCAGCCATTTATTTTTCTCACAAAGGAACATGTAGAAACTATTCCCACTTCAGCAAGAGTATTTTCTATTGCTTTCTAAACAGCACAACAGCCAAACAAGCAGGGGGTTAAAAAGTTTATATTTAGCCTAGCCTACAAACATCTAGCTGAAAAATGCCTCTGAGTGCTTCAGTAGAATTTGATTTTGATTTGACTGAGTTTTGACCCTCAGAAAATTCCACACATAAGCTCAATACATTCATTATTGGTGTATTCATTGGGCTCAGAGGAGGAAGGCAAGGTTATACTGTACGTACATGTGGTTAGTGTATGTCCTTATCCTAGCACAGTGTCTTAGGAGTACTCACTGTGAGTGGGAGTGCTGAGCTTGGTGGTGCTTCTCACACGTCTGTGACTGAATGTGCACTTGGTGCTTGCAGTCTTAGGAACATCCTGTGTTTTTAGGAATAACCTAAATGCCTAAGGAGGCTAAAGGGGTCTTCTGAGCAATTTGGATTGGTCCAACATCCTCTGCCCCATTGGCCAGGGTAAGAATCTGGTCCAGTGAGGACACCTAGGGTCAGACAAAGCCTAGACATCAATGGGTGGGCCCTCGGGGATGAGGCAGGTCCAAGGTCAAGCTGTGGAGTCAGTGGCCAGATCAAGTTGGTCCATGGCCATGGAAAGGGGAAGCCTGTGGCAGAGCTGGAGACCAGTAAGTTTACAGTGTTGTTGAGGCAGGGGCTGAGTGCTCTGGGCTGGGCTGAAAAGGGGAAACTGCAGGGGATATTTGGGGGGGCCCAGGTGAGGCCAGTCAGGCCATTAAGGTTTAGTAGTGCACTAAGGACCTTGACAAGGCTATCCAGAGAGCCAATTTCCAGAGAATCTTCATGTCCAAAGATACTCAAAGGTTGCCTTGAGATCAACCTTATCTGTTTGAAAATGCCCCTGCTTTGAGCAGGGAGTTGAAATAGAGACCTACAGCCTTCCGTCCCAACCTGGGTTGTTCTGTTATTTGACAAAGCCTGCTGGTTTTTCTTCTACATTAACAGAACATCCAGAATATCCTGTCACTATGAATGTTACTCACTCAAGCTTTAAATGGTGTGTGACAGAAAGCCAAATAGGTAGCATACACTAGGCATGATGTACAGCCTTACAGTGATGAGCCTGAATGCTGCAAACTCTTACACTCACACTTCACATTCTACCATGAGCAGTCAGTGGACGCCTTCAGAAAAATAGTTAAGCATATGTGCAAGTGTTTGGAGCATATCCAAACAAGGATCATCATCATCATCACATGAAGGAATATTTGCTGGCATTTAGAGCCCATTTATGCTCCAAGGTAAGTCAACTCTCTAGCTCTCTCGTCTACTGTCTCAGATCCTGATCTGCCTTAAAGAAAGTCTGTGTGCACTGTGGCCTTGACTAAGCAGAGCAATCTGGGGTATGTGTCTTGCTGAATCAGAGCTTATGCACCTAGCTGAAATTGCTTTGTAGGACACAGTCCGTTTCCCGTGAAACACTTGTGAGGCTTTTGGCATTCACAACATGATGGAAATCTGTGTCACCTGGTCATCCCTTGAGCTGAGAATAAAAGTTAAAATGAGAATGGATAGAACAGAAGCTGCCAATAAAAATGGTACAATGTGAGCTGTAGGGGAAAAGGCTTTTATTAGTGTTTCCTGCAATGTGGATGGACATAGAACAGAAGGAGTTAAAAATGAGTACATTCTTTACATGTACATCTCTGGAAAAAGAGTGTTCAACTTTATAGCATCAGGAATAGAACAAGGAAAGAATTTATGAGGTGTACAACCGAAAAGGACTGTTTTATGCCTCATTTTAATGGTGGTATTTCCTGATTGATGAGCATGCAGATATGTCATTTTAATATGCTTTGACAAAGTTGGTTATATAACATTTATGTACGAGACTGGTTTCTTCTGTGAATTTACTTTTGAAGTCTTAACTGGTGACTACATGTGTGTGTATAAAAGAAGAAACTTTTTGCCTTTAAATACTTCATCTTCCTTAGTTCTGAAGTTGTGGTACTGTTTTTGGCTCAGCAGACTTGGAGCCCTTCTAGAAACTGTGGGAATATTTCTAAATTTGGTTGTTGAATCTGCTCAACAGAAGAGCTACCACTGGAGAGAATAAATTTCATTTTAAAGTACTAGTAAGTATGCAAAATTGCTCTGAATCTTAGGAGCCAGTCTATTTACAGTTAGAAGACTTGGGCTCTTAAGTGCTTATAGCACTTTTGAAAATGAGACTTAAATGCTCCTAAGTAATTTGGGCACTACAGAAAATCATATCTAATTTCCTTGATTTTGTGCTGACATCAACACCAATCATAAAATGATTTGTTATCTAGATGGTAGCAGAACTGGTCGCATGTGCAGCGAATCCAAGAGAAGGAAATATGATTCAGAAGTGAATTAAATAATTGAATGGTGTTTAAATACAGGAGGCAGTACACATCCTTGGCTTCAGTGGTTCTGTAGTAATTATTTCCAAAGTAGATGTTGCTCTCAGCTAAACACTCCTCCCCTGGAAAACAGTGGAGCTGTATCCATGCAGACTGCCCTGCACACTCCTGGAAATCCTGTTATTCCTCTGTGGCCACTGGAAGGAGACTAATGTAACAACAAGCACACACTCCGATGCTTCAAACAGTCCCCCAGAATACCAAAATCTTGTTTGAAATTGGGTTATTTTGGAGAATATTTGGGAAGAGAGGTTAAGGACAGACTTTCTCAGCACTTCAGTGGATCAGATGTATGCTAATCCCATGCTGCCTGGAGCAGCATGTCAGGTCTCTCAAGAGTGCACTGTTGTCTGGCCCTGGTTTCACATGATTACTGCTGTGGCTGACAGGAGAAAAAGGGGTTTTCCTTTCTACACAAGATCTCAGCGGTACGGGAATCTGTGGGTCAGAAAGAAACGTCTTTTATGGAAGCTCTGCAGCCTGCTATGGCTGTATTGTAGACTTGCTTTAAAGAGTCAGGACCTCAGGGCTGGCTGGCTCTGTTAACATCTATATTCTCAGGTCTCCAGGAGTTCCTCTGGAAACTCTGCAACATTCAGCTGCCTCTGCCCCATTTCCCACATGCCCTTAGAAATTCCAGGGCAAAACTGGATCCTTGAGATCCAGGCTCCATGCCAGATGGAACTCTGGGATGCACAGTTTGATGCTGAGCAATAGGCAGCAAGGGCACAGGGGTGCTAGCTGCCATAGAGAGCAGGAGAGGTGTCCGTAGGCTGTGGCATTACCTCCAAAGGCAGCACTGGGCAGCTCCAGGAGTCTCAGGACTGGCACATACAGTGTATGCAGGACAGGAGCCTGCTGTTAGGGAGAGAGGGATCAGAGCTTTGGCTGCACCAACCTAAAGTCCTGATCCATCACTGAGAGAGACCCTTCACAACCCAGGCTCCCCTGACATTTAGAATGCAGTTCAGTGACTGGGTATAGCAGGCAGCAATAAGCATAATCATACATACAGTATCATAAAACCAAATAAACCAAGCGAAACGTTGCGTTTTGTTCACAGTGACGATCCCAGCGGTTCCACAAGCAAGAAAGCCGGGTGTGAAACGGAGGATCCGAAGGAGGCCGGCAGACAGAGTGGCCAGGAAGGCAGGTCCGACACCCAGACGCTAAAAGCCCAGCATGCGGAGCTCCAAGAAGAGCAGGCAGCGGGGTGTTCCCCTCTGGTGCAGAAGGCGAGCCTCCACCACACGGGCTCCCCAGTGAGAGTGCAGCGCAGCAAAGGGACGGCCTCGTGTTCCCATGCAGCTGCCTCCGATTATGAGCTCTCCCTTGACCTAAAGAATAAACAGGTACAGGGGCTTCCTCCTCAGGCTGTGGGAAAAGGGGACGGGATGGGTGGGATTGCATTCTCACTGTGGTGGGACATCTTTCAGCAAATACCTTAGCCCTTCGTTCACCTGAGCAGGCCCGGCCCGTTTAGCTCCATGGGGCTGATGGAGGAAGTAGCTTCCCCTTTCTGACTGCAAAACACTTTCACCCAAACCTGCTGGGCTGTGCTCCCCGGTTCCCAGGTTCTGTGGTCCAACATGGACACAGATACTCCATTGTCACTATAGGCTTAGAGATGAGTTGCAGGCAGTCAAGAGCTGCAGCATCCAGAGATACTGTCTGGCTCACAAGCAAACAGTGCCTGTAGGGCTCCCAGCAACTGGTCCCAAAAGTCTTCCTTCATGGGAGAGGTCTCCAAGAGCTGTCTTTCCTTCTTGGATCATGCTCAGCAGACCCCCAGTGCACTTCTGCATTAGTCTCTTCAAAGCATGTGTTTACAGGGGTAGAGGGATTTATTTAGTGAGTGTCCTGCACAGTGTCTACCACGATTGTTTGGGTAGTGCTACCATTATTGCCTTCAATCCAGTGATGAGTGCTGAAGAGACAGGCAAGTTTACTAGGCTTGAAAGTGATTAAATTCTCAAAGCTGCAAGCCTTACTTCCTGTGCCTGAGGCTACAGCCTAGCTCCAAATCACAAGTGTACCATCTCAAACTGCACCTCCTGATGGGCTCTCTGCAGGGGACTGCAAGACAGGGGCTAATAGCAGCTGGCCTCCTCATTCAAAAACAATGAGGTGGAACGTGCCCCCTACACCCATGTCTCTGCAGACTACAGCCCAGCAGAGCTGTTGTGCAAAACAAAACCCAAAGAATGGTTTCTGACTTTTCCCTGGGATGGCAGCTCAAGGAGAGGCCGTTCGATATGCAGACCCTGTGGTATGTGAGATAAGGAGGACAAGCAAATGCTAGTGACAGTGTCCAGATCACGTTCAGTTGGAGAATTCAGTGGGAGCTGTGCTATTGCAGATGAAGGGTCTCAGCTAATGAGGTTCCCACAGAAGAAGCTGCTGCTTTAGGGACATCTCTCAACCACTTCCCTCAAGGCATTGCTGCTGTCCCTAAACATATATGTCAGATCAATGGACCAATAAATTCCTGAGCAGAAAAGAGACCTTGGCTCTTTAGCTCCGTCTTTCTCAAAATGTTGCATACTCAATTCAGACAGAATTCTTGCTTCACACAAGGAAAAGAAATGAGAGAGACGAATTAACTGGCCTCACAAACTAATGTGACATGTCTTCAGGGTGGGCCAGACCTTGGCTGCTATATCTGGCCTTAGCTTCCTCAGTGTCCTAGAGCTGCTCTGATTTGTCCTGGGGAGTGTCTGTCCTGCGTTATTTTAGCATTAAGGTCATGTTGTCCTATCACTGTTTTTGCAGCAGAGGCCAGACCTGCCCTGGATGCATGTTAGCTGCTCATTCATTAAATTCTGGTGCCTTGCAATCCTGACCTTGCAGGGATGTAGCCTATCTCGTAAGTGAAACCACTTTCCTCAAAGCAAAGGGGGCTTACAGGGTGCGTTCTCCTCCAGCCTGATGGATGTCCTCAGGTGATTGCCTCCAGCTCTGGAAGGAGAGATTTTCAGGGAGTGAAAAGTGTTAGGACCCTCAAGCACTGTCCCAGTAGTTTTCTAGTCATAGCACAGACTGTAATACGTTCATAGAATTTACAGTACGAAAAGCAGGTGGAAGGAGACATTTTTAGTCTCAAAGTGCAGTTGAAGTCACATTTACCTTTTAGGAGACGCGTGAGTGCTGGTGAGGAAGGAGAGTAGCCTAGAGACTCTTCTGCAGGGCTTGGAGTTTCAGGTCCTCACACTAGATGGTTGGTGAGTGGGGTCATGGCTCTATTTGCTCTCTATCCCATGAAACAAAGCATGTGACGGTGTGCAGAGCAGAAGTGCACTATGCTGGGAAGCTGGAAAGGAAAATCAAGTTCTTAATTTCCCCTGTGTTGAGATTCTATTGTACTGTCGGGGATCACAGGAGAGAGGAGCACACTTTCAGTCGTGCATACTCCTCTGCTGTGCTGAAACATGGTAGATGTACCATGGATGAAGGAAAATGTTGCATTTACACATGGCTCTTACAGCAATGTCTTTCCATTGTGAAAGTTGGTGAGAGGCAGAGGGACTAAGAATGGGTGACAGAGAGCATGTATGCTTTCGATGTCTTTTTGTTATTTTCTACAATGCATGCATTGACTTGAGTGACTCAGATTCTGTCACTGAGCATGATCCTCTTTTTGCTAACATGGTGGCATGCTGCCATCCTCAGTGGCAACCTGGGTGGAAAACCAGTGCTAAATGAGAATAAGATCAGGCCCATTCTCTCCTGGCAGATCTATGAATTTATGCCTATAGGCAACAAAGCCATGGGATGTGTACCTCAAAGGTTTGGCCATATCCAGGCCTGGCACTTTGATTTGCCTTAGGCTGACCTTGTTAAAGCTCCCTTCATGTGCAATCCCTCATGGCAATGGATATTTCCCAGCCATTTCTAATTCAGCCACAGGGCCTGAATTGCTCAGACTAAGTGTTCATGTTGAGACCCAGAAATATATTAAGCTAATTATTCTTAGAAATCCCTGTGACCCCCTCCTGTTTTCCCCTTCCTTTGGCGCCAGCTGTCAGATCATTCCCCAGAGAAGAGCAGCTTTAAGTAGGCAATTACTTGTGATTCACAGGGTTTATTAGGAGTGAGAGAAGGCCAATCATGTCTGGCCTTTCTCCCCTCTCAAATGGGAAGAGAAGGTTCCTCCAGCAAGCCAGACATACATCTCCATTACCTGTGACTGCTGTGGTGCTAATGGATGCCCTTTCCTCCTCTCAAGAGAAAGAAAACAGGCCACAGCACTGTGAAATCCTTAATTCCTCTGCAGTTGGCTCGACCTGATAGCAAATGTGAATGTCTCAGACATCATTAAGCAGAAAATGCCTGGGCTACATCAAGGAGAGACAGAGACCCACTCCTACCAAGGAAGAGTGGGGAGGGAAGTTCTCTGTGGGGCTGCTTCTTCTGGCTTTACCAGTCTTCTCAAGCATCCTTTGGATCACTCCCCAGTCCTTGTCATCACAGCCACAAGACACTGTAGGACTCCCCTTGCTTTGGATAAGGCTGGATGGAAGTGGACCACGTGCAGAACACATCTTTGCACACCTGGTACATGGTGGAGAACAGACTAGGTTGGGAGTCCCGTCACTTTACATCTTGTTCTGCTCCTTGATGCTTTAGCCCTTTGGGAGGACTGAGATAATGGGCTGCAAAAAGCTGGTGATGTTTTATCAAGGTGCTGACAGCTTGCGCCATTCTGTTAGACTTTTGGAAGGATCTCTCCTCTTGGTGATTATTGGAAAGTCTGCTTTTTTCGGGAACTGTCCTTGCATGAGATAAACTGGCCTTTTACTTCAGATCAGCAATGACATCTTGTCTTTGCCTCTAATAAGATCAGTGCATATGAATCTCATGTTTTCAGAATGGCTGTCACCTCCTTGGAAACCTCAGATAATTGTAAGGCTCTTGCTTCTGCCTTATTTTGCATTTTACTATTATTCTGTTCCTCAGATGGCTGTATCTGTCCCTCCCATTTGTTCCTCTTTCCCTCCCAACACAATTAGCTCTACATTTTCATTAACCAGACCATTATATTAAGTGCTCACGGTCAGTTGTCAGTAATAACTATCTGGGTTGGGCCTGTGTAGGTTATTGGTTTAATTTGCACTTATGTGCATGAGCCTTCCTCCTGAAGGGGAGGGCCAAGGAATAGCTCAGTCCCTTTCAAGGGAGGACAACTTGAAGAGATGTGACAGGAATGCTGGTTTTATGGTGGGATTTAAGATGGTCATTTTGGAAAGAAGGAAAAAGAACCCCAGCAAAGCCCTTTTGTGTGCTACTCAGAATCTCTTTTTATCCCTGTATTTCTCTTTGTTGCAGCATCAAAATCTTTCTGGGAGGGCAGCAGGGCAAATATTAGGAAAATGTTTTTTAAACTAGGGGTAAGCAGATGCCATGGTTTAACCGCAGTTGGCAGCTAAGTACCACACAGCCACTCATTCCCGGCTTCCATTGGTCAGATGGGGAGGAGAACTGGAAAAGGTAAAACCTGTGGGCTCAGATACGAACACTTTAATAAAAGAAATAAGTAAATAATGATGATGGTGATTATGATGAACAAGAAGAAGAAAAGGAGAAGGAAAGAGAGGGATAAAAGCTAAGAAACCCAAGTGATGCGCAATATGATTGCTCACCACCCACTGACTGATGCCCATCCTGTCCCTGAGCAGCGATCAGCAGCTAAGCATGATGTTCCATGGAATAGAATATGCCTTTGGCTAGTTTGGGTCAGCTGTCCTGCCTCTGCTCCCTCCTGGCTTCTTGTGCATCTCCTCATAGGCAGAACACAGGAAACTGGAAAGTTCTTGATCTAGAGTAAGCAATTTAGCAACAACCACCAGTGTCTTATCAGCATTGTTCTCAGACTGAAGCCAAAACACAGCACTGCACCAGATACTAGTAAGAAAATTAACTCTATCCCAGCTGAAACAAGGACAGCAGATCTCTCAGTCTCTTCGACTGCAGTGGCTGACCCCATTGCTAAGCAAATTGCTAGTATGTCTCAGTGCTGGGCTTGATGCTTGCTTTGAACAGATGTGAATTCAAAGGCAAGGAAAACAGGAAACAGAAAACAGAAGCTTTACATTTGAACCCAGGCAAAGGGTCCATTCTTCATTTCCAGAGAGGAAATTATGACAGGATGTGCCCTGAGGCCCAATCCCTTCCAGAAATGGCAGTCTCCCATCCAGTGCAGCAGGATCTCTAGACCTGTTGCTGCCTGGAGTGAGGGGTCTCAGTAGGGAAGGTCTGCAGTACTTACTCCAACAGCCAGGTTACCAGTGCAGGCACAGAACACCTGGGGTCATGTTGTTCCTCTCTTCCTGTCATCTCCCAGTGTCATATCGTCTTCCCCAGAGGAGTTAGCATTGGAAAGATGCCAGAGGTGATTTACACTTTTTACAGCTGTGATTTCAGGCCTTCTTGTACCTAGATCACTCACTGATGGTTTTATCTGCAACTTACATAGTATTACAAAAAAGGAAAACAAGAAGGAAGCAGATGACACAACTCTGGGAGCTGAGGCTTATGCCTCAGTCTTGCTTAGAGTACAAAATCAGTTTGCACTGAAACTGTGCAAACTGTGAGTTCAGTCCTTCACCCTGTGAGTACTGGGCCAGCAAGGCATGGTGAGGTGCAAGTGGTGTTTTTCTGGGGATAAGGATGCAGTCAGTTAGACTCACCCTTTGGATCTGCTAATGAGCTCATACTCACCACATGAAAGATGTAGTGAATCCTCTGTTAATTGAGGGCTGATGTTACCAGCACTCCCAGTCTTGCATTTCCCATTTGTTTTTTGGATTTCCACATGTGCACACACACACATATAAATGCTACAGCCTGCATCTGCACTGGGCCCTGTGAAGTGACAATGTAGAGGTTAGCTCATAGTTCAGTCAAAACCTCAGTGAAGGTAGTTCAAGATCACCCTTATATTTTCTTCAATCCCATCATCCACCATCATCTTCACACTGTCCCACTTGTCCTCCATCAGTCACTCACTGGAACCAAGTCATCCAACATTATCCTGTAGGATGTTAGTGAAGGGCCAGCTGCAGAGGAAGAGTGAGGGGATTACCAGAAAGTATGAACACTAGACTATGGAAGAGAAATTACAATTCATACGTGCTTTGTTGAAGCCTGTTGAGATGCCATTTAGCTGTGCGTGTACGTATTTACATCTGTTTTTGTTGTTACCAGCTCGGGAAGAAGTAAATCCTCCTTCTACCTGTTCTTAATATCTTGACTCAACCTTTAAAATATGATTTTTTTACCTTCCAGAGTCTTTCTTTTCTTGAGTAGTTTTTATTTCACTGCTGGCTGACACCTGAAAACCACAGATATCAGAAAGGAAGACACTTTGGGATTCAGAGTACTTTTTAAAAGACGGCAAACAAACACAGCTCTCACTGACTTGTATGGAAGCTGATGTTTCTCACCAGCTCCTATGATCAACCCAGCATTTTCTGAATTTAAAAATTAACTTTTTATTCCTATTTCTGTATGGTTTCTCCTTTCCATGAGAGTATTTGTTAAGGTGACTAAGGAGGGGAGGAGCATTAGTAACACTCTGAGATAAGGGATGACGCTTGACATCACCAGAGCACTGCAGAGCAGGAAGACACATTGCTGGAGCACTGTATTTGCAGTGATGAGCTTGCCCTAATGACAAGAGAAGTGTGTAAGCAAGGGAAGGGCACCTCCAGGCTCCAGTAGTGCAGGGGAAAGCTAATTCAGTGTCAGAAGTTCCTCTGACAGTCATTACAGACTCATCAGTGTAGGAACCAGGGTAACAGAAAGCCATCAGAGGTCAATTAGCAAAAGAATAACATCTCCTGTTTCTATGTCTTCCAGATCGAAATGCTAGAACACAAGTACGGCGGTCACCTGGTGTCTCGCAGGGCAGCCTGCACCATCCAAACTGCTTTCCGGCAGTACCAGCTCAGCAAGAACTTTGAGAAGATCCGCAACTCGCTGCTAGAGAGCCGCATGCCACGCCGCATCTCCCTGAGGAAAGTCCGGGTCCAGAACTCGGAGAGCTTCTCTGCTGAGAAAGCCCTGGTGGAGGGGTACAACTTTGTGGGCATCCCATTGGTGAGGTCTCCATCTTTGCCAGCCACCATCAGTGGGGCACTGACTGAGCTGGAGGACTCCTTCACAGAACAAGTTCAGTCCCTGGCCAAGTCTATTGATGATGCCCTCAGCACTTGGAGCCTGAAGACCATGTGTTCACTGCAAGACGGGGGCTCATACCAGATAAGGGAGACCTTCAGTGCTAGCTCCATGCAGCCAAACCAAGATTTAGAAGCTGAGCTGCAGGATAAGGAGAAAGAGGAAGGGCTCCTGCCAGACACTCTACCCAAGAGCAGCAGCACTCTCATGATGGCTTTTAGGGATGTCACAGTCCAGATCGACAACAAGAACATCTCTGTCTCATCGTCTACCTCGGTGTCCATGGCAAACTGCCTCAGCAACAATGCCCAAGCTGGCCTCTCTCAAGCTACCAAGGCTGAAGAAAGCCCAGGAGAAGGGGAAGGAGAAGCCAGTGAACCACCGGCTGCCCCAGAGAGCTCACCTGAGTCCACAGCTCTCCAGAACAGCCACACTTTCACCGAGGTGAATGTCAGTGCTAATGGTACAGGAGACAGCAGTGCTGAGCCTGGGCAGATGGCAGTGCAGAAGCTCCAGCTTGATGCTAGCAACGAGACAGGGCAAAACAAAGGCTCTGAGTCTGAGAATGCAGACAATTCAGAGCAGCTGAGCAGCAGCAGCACCTCCACTTCAGCCAAGTCAGCCTCGGAGGTGTCCTCCAAAGAAGCACTGCAGGCCATGATCCTCAGCCTCCCGAGGTACCACTGCGAGAACCCAGCTAGCTGCAAGTCCCCCACACTTTCCACTGACACCATGAGGAAGCGCCTCTACCGCATTGGGCTCAACCTCTTTAATATGTAAGTGGCTCTTCCTCTTTTGTGTTTCCCAGCCTATTTCACCCCTCACAGGAACACGTGATGGCAGCCTCTTGGTCTAGATCAGTTTAGCTCATCCAGCTTTTTCTTTAGGTTTATTAAGTACTGTCCTCAGCTTCTACCCAACAGAGGAGCAAGCCCCATGAGTAGTGCCCATGCTCTCCTGAGTCCTGAACCTTCAGTCCCAGTTGCTGTCCACTTGGCATCCACCAGCTGAGCTTGGGATCTAGGCTTCTGCCACACTCTGTTGCAAAGGAACCAACATAGGTGGTACTCTAAATCCAGCCCTGGTTACTTAACATGGAGCATTTCCAAGTAAAGAGAGAGACAGAGGTAGAACTGGGCTTAGCTTGCCCAGTACAAGTGCTCTGGCTGTCAATTTCATTCTGGTATCTGGGTAGATTTTCACCTGACAGACCAGGTTTAGTCATCTCAGTCTCACACATCTGAGACTGATATCCTAGGAAAAGCAAAAGCAGAGCAGTCCAAAGAAGAGTTTAACTGGAGGGGTCACACAGAGTCTATTTTGGATTAGCAGAAAGCAGCTGAGCTCCTCTAAGGAGCTTTAGATTTGCTCATTGCCTTTCAGTGGGACTTATCTAAGCAAGCCATGAGAAATACTGGTTTTTGCTTCATCATCTCACACTCATCTGATGCTGTCTTGGTTTCCATTTGAGTCCCTTGATGAAGATGCTGGGGATGTAATGCACTCATACTAGAAGAATGTTTTGCCACACATTAGTGTGGGCGTTTTGGTAAGAGCAAGGACTAAAAGTTATGCAGTCTGAGGCAGAAGTTTTGCACAGACAAGGGGCAATGCATAGGATTACTATACATGTAGAGTGGAGGTTGTGGACTCCAGGAGGCAAGAATGTGGAGTCCACAGCCTCCATATAACATGTATATAGTATGGAGGTTTTTCAGCCTGGGCTCAGAGCACACCCAGAGCTGAAGTGGTGTTAGAGCAGACAGATCTGTGACTCTTACAGAACTGAGGACATTTTGCTAGCTCTGAGCTCAGGTTGTGAACAGGTGAGTCCATGTGTGTTTATCAAAGTCAGGCTCTGGGCACACACAGATTTGCCTGATGAGCACAAGCAGGCTGGAACTGGAGAAGGTAGCTACCAGATGCAGGTGGGGTTGATTATGATAGAGATAGTTCCAGGTCCCCACATATGTTCTAGTGTTTGTGTTAGGATAGGTGGGGGGGAGACATGGGGCTCACACCTCTGCTCCTGTTTCAGTATTCTCAGCTGTGCTTGGCAGGAGTCCCTCCAGCCAACGTGTTTTCCTTTGGTTCCTGCACAGTTGACATGGGCACTTATGTGAAGGTAAAGCAGGAATGAGAATGCTTTTTTCCTGGCCTTTCCTCCTCCCCCAGTCTGCCTGGCACACATTCATGTGACAGATTAGCAGCACCAGGTCTGCTGTGGGGAAGCAGCTCTGCCTTCCTCCTTCATTCAGTGATCTGGGTTCACTGCATCTTGCAGGTGCCTGTGGGCTACAACACTTAACCGTGGAGCTCTGAAACACAGTTTCCTAGCCAGGCCTCCCCTGCTCCCTTGAAACTAGCTGCTGAAATAGTGTGTATTAACCTGGAAGGCGCAGTTGTCTTGACAAAACTGGAGGACAGGGAGGAAGGGAGCTGACCTGTTAGCTCTGGGGAGTGAAGGTTGTTTTTTATTATTCTCTGAGAGGGACTTAAGGCTCCCCTTGTGACACTGCAGTGCATCTCCATCCAAGGGGATGTGAAGGCCATTCAGCTTTCTGCAGTTATTTGGTTGTTATTTACCTATCAATTTCTAGCAAGGAGCCAGTTCACTGTTGTAGGGTTTGTGATGTGAGCACCAACCCATAGGGCATGGAGCTGAGACCGTGCCTCTGTGTGTGCACATCCTTTTTACTGTCTGTTCCCCTGGACCAAGAGCTGAAGCCTGCAGTTCTATCACCATCTGCCATAACCTATCCAGCCCTGTGTTGCCTTGAGTTGCTACTTTCAGAAAGCAGCTCTCTGGTTCGGAGCAGCCCCCTGGGAATGCATGGATGCTGTGCTTCTGTGGCAGTTTCCCAGTCTCCATTCCACAGTGAGGGGGTGGAATCCCTGGAATGGAGAGTGCTTCATTATGCAGTGCTGCTGTAATAACTCAGTGTGTGTGGGCAGCTGGCTGCGTGGGCATAGGGAAAGCCAGCAGGACATGAGGAATCCCGTAGCATTTGCTGGCGGTGTTTAACACCCCTGCAACATTAAACAAAATAACAGGCACCAGGCCCAGGAGAGATGAAAGCAGAGTTTGCTGCTGTACATCTGGGTAAAAGGTGCGTGCTGCGGTACATGGGATACCTCTGCAGGTGTTCAGAGGCAGAGATGATGCACTGCTTATCAGGATTTTATGGAGAACAAACTGAATCCCAAGAAAAACTGATGACAGGCTGCTGCTGGTGGAAGAATAGTGTATGCAAGTATGTTTGAGTTACAGCATAGGCAGTGCAGGAGGGATGTCACAGCTGGACTGTTTCAGCCTACATCCTCTTGCATTGTGTGTGCCATCTCTACTGAAATCTGCACATCCATGCACATCCAGTATGTGAGCTGCATTTTTCTGCCCATATTCAGCTCCCAGCTCCTCTGGAGTGAATGCAAACTCAGCCTGGTGGCTTTGGAGTCACACCAGTGTGGCTGAGATCATCCCCATACAGTGAACATCGCACTGTCACTTACCAGATACCCAAGCGTGCAGGTGGAGGTGCATTTTATGCATCTCCATTGCTTAGCTTGACTTCAGTCCTGACCATATGACCTTTGCACTTAAGTAACTTTGCCTGTGCTCTTCAAAGGTGAACCAGATCTGTGTGGTAATACAGAAGGCACACTGTTGTTTTTCCCTGAGGATGGCCTAGGGTTTTCAATATCAGATCTTTCAACTCTCCTGTTCATAAATGTAATGGGTTGGCTTGTTCTCCCAGCCACTCTCCCCAGGGACTCCACGCTCCCCAGGATATTTTCTCTGTGGCATTACAGAGTAAGCAGAACTATTTCAAGCCCATCTACTCTTTATATAGCCATGAAGCCCCTGTAAGGAGCAGGCCATTCCAAATGCTGACTCCCTTATAGCTAGACATATGTTGCTCACCCACATCCTCTACCACCTGACAGTGTCACAGTCTGTGCCTGTGCATATCATACATTCACGTGGTCTGGGATCTCATCCTTTCCTTTCCTAACCCCAGGAAACTGCCTGAGCAAGCTCACTCCTTGAGCCTTGACATAGATAGCTGCATTTGGGTTAATGAGGGAAGTATGGCATCCTTTCATGAAGAAGCTACCCTCTCACCTCCCTCACTCACCACCTCATAGAACCAAAGGAATGTGAAATCTCCCTGGGATTTCACTAATTCCTTTCAGCAAGAGTGCATGACACCCTTCAGTGGGGCAGACTGAAATACAGGAAGAAAACCTGCTACATGATACACACATGCACACTCATTCCTGCCTGTACTGTGGGACACACACCACTATGTAGGCTCACAGCCACTGCCAGGATACATAGAACCATGTGTGCTTATAGGAGACAGGAGGAGGAAGCCAAAAGATGCAGACACACAGGCTCTAATGAATGTGTATGATGCAAAAGAAATCTGTATGTACAGGACATAGACACATACAAACATGTGTGCCTATTGAGACATGCACTACCCCCAAGAGCTGCAGTCAGGCCCACTCATCACCAATCCTTTCTCAGAGAGGCACCCACAGCCGCAGAGGGAGAAAACCCCTCTGTATTTTCCTAGCTCTGACAAGACATTCTCCAGGTTCCTTCTCTCATCACCACCACCCCCCTCCCCCAGAGGGGATAAATCAATAGAGAAGGGAAGAGCAACACAGGTAAGGGTGGGGGAAGTGGAAGAAGAGATAACCAAACCTGAGAATGGGGTTTCTGTTCAGGCAGCCAGCACCAGGCTCAGGTGAAGAAGGTAGAAAGTGTCACTAACACTGAGCACTAAAAATATATGAAAAAGAGATTTTATTTTTTTTTTCCATAGAAAAAGTATCCACCTCTGGTTATCTCTCTTTGTGTCTTGAGCCTCATTTGCCCATTGACCATGGCAGCAATGTCTCCTAAGTCTCTTTACAGCCACATTTTTCCGTTTGGCTTTGTCTGCCCTGCCGAAGATGCAACCCCAGTTCCCATAAAAGCAAGGGGCTGTCACCCTGGTCCTTGGAGGCAGCTCACTGTGGGTTGCATTTGGAGCAGCCGAATGTACTTGTATTTCCTGTGTTGTGTGGAGGACACAATCTAATCATGTCCTTACAGGAACCCTAAGTAAACCAAGCTGGGGCAGGAAAGGTGCAAGAGTCTTTAACTCTTAAGAAGGCTGATGGCAGAAGATGATGTTGGTATTGTGCATCAGGATTCTTTGTGGCAGAAGGATGACACTTATGATTGCCAGGTGACAGCAGGTACTGCAACTAACACAGCATCCCATGGCATCCTTTTGTCTTCAGCACCAACTGGAAGGGGACTCCCTCAAGTCACTTCTCCTTGCCCACACCAGTCCCATTCTGCCACGCACATGAACTCATAGGAGCCCATGCACATACTGAGGGCTGCATTGCTACAAGCCGTGAAGTGAGCCAGAGGAGATAATGCATAAAAGAGATCATGCAAACTCACCATGTATGTCTCTGACCTTCTCTTTCAGAAACCCAGACAAAGGGATCCAGTTCCTGATCTCCCGCGGCTTCATCCCAGATACCCCCATTGGGGTGGCACACTTCCTGCTCCAGCGGAAGGGCCTCAGCCGCCAGATGATTGGGGAGTTCCTGGGCAACAGCAAGAAGCAGTTCAACAGGGATGTGCTAGAGTAAGTGTGGAAACCTCTTCCCCTCCTCCCTGCACTGTAAAGGAGTTTCGAGCACACTCTGATCCTGGCTGCACTAGCAAGACCCTATCCTCTATGTCCCCTCCACCCCCACTCCACAGGAACTTTACCATTCCCACTCCCTACCTGACACCTCTCAATGGATTTCCCAGCAATGTGTTTCCTCCTTCATATCAGCAGCCCTTTCATTTCAGTCTCTCCTCTGGGGGCTTGTGATCATCTAGCAGGAGCCAAGCACTATCGGGTGGTAGAAGCAGTGATGCTGGGAGGTTTTGTGGCTGGGAAGCTCTGTGACTGGGTTCTTACCCAATCCAGATAAAGCAGCTCTGATGTGTTCTGGGAAGTACTAAGAGGCAGAAGAATAAAAATACCTGTTCCTTGCAGTGAGACCAGCAGCAGGTAGTGAATGGTGGCTCCACACCTGGTTCTCTTTCTGTCCGATTTTGAGATGGGTGGCCTTTTCATTTTGTCCACTTGCACTACAGGGATAATAAGAAGAAAGCTGATTCTGTTTGGCAATGCTACTCCTGTTAGAAATGTAAAGCCTGCAGAAGGAAGCTTGCTACTAATGGTTTGTCATTGCCACTGCAGTCACAGAGCACTGAGGAACGTCCCGACTCCAAAACTCCAGTGGGCTGAGCTATCCCTTTTCTGAGCAAGATCTCAGGTTTCCTCCATGCTTCTGTTAGTGGCTGCCTTTGATGGATTCTTCCCTTCAGTTCTCTCACTGTGACTCTCCCCTGGTCACACAAACCATGCATCTCTCAGCCTATTCCTCTCTCATCTTTCGAGTCCTGCAATTTGGGCTGCAAAAACCAATATACCAACCTATACTACCTCAGTGCCTGCCTGTTTCTCTGCCTTCCACATTGTAACCATTGCTAATTTGTCAGACTCCAGCCCCAAAGGAGCAGGGTGTGAAATGCTGGGAAGAAAAACATCTTGCCTGCTCTTTGAGCAATGTCCAAGATGACAGGATTTCTGCAAAGATAGGCCTGGGGAAGCGAGATGACCATTTGTTTCCTCCTTGGTCCTGGTGTGCTTCAGATGAGGGCAAAGGAGAAAGTACAGCTATCTGTGTGATAGAAAGGGGACATGAGGAACAGGGGACACCACCCAACCACCTTGAGAATTGCTGCAGGGTGAGATTGCAGCTTTTCAGCAGTGAGTTAATGTGAAGGCTGCCATGCAGGCTGATGTGACCCGAGTCACCAGGAAGCAGCAAGCTCATTCTGAGACCATTTCAAGGAATGACCGGCTAGGTCTTGCTTTTATTAGGCAGAATGACAGTTCCTATTGAGAGCTGTCTTTCCATTAGACAGGAAGTCCTTTTTGCTGGATCCTTTATTATATTTTCTCATCCTCCAAACAGTTGAATTTTGCAGTGGTTTCTCTTGAGCCAAGCCAAAAAGGAACCCTAAACCCAATGCACACACCACTTTTACTCCAGGGAAGTACTAGAGGATGCCAGCTCAAGAGCCAAATCTGGGCCCAAATTTCAAAATTCATTCCTGCTGCAATTGCTGCTTATTGCTGCAGGTACCTGACCTTTGGTCCAACTCTTTTTTTTTTATATACTGCATGGGTTGGGTATTGATTTGGCCAGCAGCAAGACACATGTTCTCTCCAGTCTCTTCATGCTGAGAGCTACAATTAAAAGTAATTGCCTCTTTTTCTCCAGCAGGCAGTGTGTGGGCTGCTTTCCCTGACAGATACTCTGCAGAAGTCCAAACCTAGCTTCTGCACAGACAGGGAAATATTGCAAGAGCAATAGGCTGGCACTTCTGTGTAGTCCTAAATTTGGCATCATCCCTGCAAATAACCATGTTCTTCTGCCTCACATGTGACTACAAACTCTGTGCCAGCAGCTCCTGAGAACAGCCTCTATTGCAAATCTTGATGTCTGCCCTCCAGCCTTAATCCTCAGGAACTGCTATGTTCTGGTTGCCCATCTTTGCATGTTGCAGGAGGTCCATTAAAGCAGGTGGCTTTACTTTGTCATGCTCATTACTCTCAGTTTCCACTGCATCTCTCAGTGTAGCACTCCAAATGTTCCATGTAAGAGTGACCCCACCATTCTATTTACAAATGTAGAAAGCAAGGCCCAAAGATGGGAACTGAGCTGTTGAGATCGTGTGTACACTGACATATATTGGACATGAACTTTGTGTACATAGACATGTATCAAGCAACTGAGTCTGAATTAGGGGTTCAGACCTGTGTTTGATCTCTCCAGGCAACAGCTGATGTTCTTGAACTAACAATCTATGCTGCCATCCCCTCTTCACAATAAATTGCTGATTCATCTTCCTCGAAGGCAGCAATAAAAGTAGACATATACACAAAATGTTCTAAAACAGTAAGGAAAAACATACACATTCAGCTAGCTGTAGCTGTGCTGTTTGCAGGTACTTTCGCTCTCTTCCTGTGTCAGTTCTGAGCTTGGGGATAGCAATTGTTGCTGTGCTTCCCAAGCAAATTTTCATCAACTGCTTGTAAGAGCTGGCTGGGCAATGGCTGCACACCCAGCGGTGTGACATGGATGGAAACAAGGCATTGCCAGGGGAAATCCTGGCCCAGGATTATCACCCTGGATATTCCTCATGTCCCTGCTGCAGGAAGAAGAGGGCTGGCAGCCTAGTACAGTATGCTGGAATTTCCAGTGCACTGTAATGCACTATAAGGCTAGTCATGACTTTTGAGCCATTTGTGTGGGAGCAAGATGCAGCTTAAGGACCTTTTGGCATTTTAGAACTAAGATCTAGTCTGGTTTTCATTCCTCATCCAACTCAAATCAAACTAGCTCAGAAACACTGGCACATGTTGAGAGAATGGACTCTGCAAGGGCTGTCTTGCAGTCCCCACATCTATCCACACTTAGAAATCCAGTGGTATTCCCAGCAGAGCATGTGGCAGACAGGATAGCTCCTACAGTAGCTTCTGCACAATTTTCCCAATGCCACAGTCATTTCTGTGGCCCAAGTGGGCAGAAGATCAGGCCCTGCTAGTCCTGGCAAGCTCAAATGCCCAAGCAGGGTGACTGTGAGCAGGCAGTAGTTGTTGGGCAGGCTCTGACTACCTGCAGTGAGCAAGCCTTTATGTCTCTGCTCTTTCACATCCCAGACCTGACCCTGAAGCCTTCCTGGCGCATCCTCTCCCTCCTGAAAGCAGTTTCAATTATTGATGCCACTTGCTGTGTTAGTTTAGCTTTCTCTCGATGTGAAAACCTGTGTTAGAATTGTGTGTTGTAAGCATTGTCTCCACTGCCACCAGGTTGAATTAACCCAGCTGCATGAATAAATAATAGGACAGCTTTTAAAACATCTGCAAAAGTGTCAGCCTCCCTTGTGCATTTGGAGGCAGGGCAGAGCTGCCCAGGTCACAGACTCCAGACTCAGCTGTAAGTCCGGCTTTAAGACTGCTCTGCAGACTTCTCTTGGCTTCTGCAGGTATTGAAGCAGTGATGCTGACAAACAAGCAAACCACTGCCTGTTCCTGGAGTCAGGCAATAGAGCTCAGAAGTGTACAGTAGTATTTGATACTGTGGAGATACTCTGCTTTTACTCCTCACCTAAAATTCCAGAGGAAGTGCCATGCTGGTTGCAAAGCCTCTCACATGTATGGGAAGGGAAGCGGGTGAGAGTAAGTGTAGTAAAGGGCTTGAAGACTTTGGCATGCAATTTTGCCTTTCCACACCAGCAGGCTCAGCACATAAATGCCCTGAAGTTACATTCTCCTGTCCATCTTCCTACTCTGTCTTTCAATCTCTAACTGGTTTTCTTGGAACCCAGAAAAGGTGTCTGGATAGCTCACAAGTAATCCACAGAATCATAGAATCAGCTAGGTTGGAAAAGACCTTTAAGATCGTCAAGTCCAGTGTTACCCTAGGACTGCCAAAGCCACCACTAACCCATGTCACTGAGGGACTCATCTACATGGTCTTTGAACACTTCCAGGGACAGTGATTCCACCACTGCCCTGGAAATCCTGTTCAATGCCTCTTCACCTCTTTTGGTGAAGAGTTTTTTCCTGATATCCAGTCTATTATAAATGCTAGCCAGTGGAAGGGAGAGATCAGGGGATTATAGTATCTGACTATAACCGGGACACATGCTTTGATAACGCTAAACTGCGCATGCCTGTCTGTTAAGGGAGATGCAGTATGTTGTTTTCTTTTGCAGAAAAGGCTTCAGTCTTTGAAAGCAGGATTTATCTCACCTATTGTTAGCCACCACCAAGTTTAGTGCCTTCTATCAATTTATGAATTCCATTAGTTAATGGAGACATATAGATCCCTCAGGAGTGTTGTTTTTTCTCAATGTGCTTGTTTAGGCTGGACATACAGCTTTTTAGGTGTTTTATGTTACAGGTGATAAATCCCATCTGTAAACATTCTGAGCATCCTGCAGTAACAACCATTCTCTTTGATCCAGCATCCCACAGTAAGATCCATCCTCTTCTCTTGGGAATCTACTTCCACAGCCTGCCCTGAAGCCAGTTAGAAGGAGTCCCTGGGGATATACCTCAGGGTTTCAATGCCTACCGGTCTAGAGAATACAGCTGTAGAGAGGTACGCTGGTCCACTAAAGCACTGAGATGGTACTGAGTGGTTTTATCAAATCTACTTAGCAAGTACTGCAGAAAAATCATTTTGATACCTTGAAAAAGAGGCCGAAGGCATTAACACATTTTTAATGAGACACGATTGTTCTTGCAGTCTTTCTTCATTCCTTTCTTTTGTAGTACATGCTCAGATGTATTGTTTATTTCCTTTTTGTGGACTCTTCATTCTCTGCTTATTTGCTTTTGCTTTCCTTCATTCATATTCCCCTTTGCTTTAGTTCATTCTTCCCCTCCACCTGTTTCTGACTCAGGAAACGCTTCCATTTATAGTTCATTCATGAACAAGATAATGTGAGTGATGCCATGAATGGAGTCAGCTGTGCTGCTGGTACTTTATGGTGTGTGTTCAGGTCGTGGGA